AGTTTGGTAGAAATCTCGTGAAATCGCAGCGGTGACAGAGGTTTCGTGAGTAGATCAGCTATCTAAGCAATCGAAGGTAGGTTCTATACTTTGATGTTCTTAGCTATAACAAGATCTCTGAGAAAATAGATATCTATTTCCACATGCTTCGTTCTTGAGTGTAGGATGAGATTCGAGCTGAGATGTACAGAGCTTAGGTTATCGCACCAGAGGATTGGCATTTGAGAAACCGCAATTCGAAGCTCGTGAAATAGGGTCTTCAGCCAAATTAGTTTAGACGTAGCTAAGGCTAATGCACGGTACTCAGCTTCTATACTTGACCTCGAAATTATTGTTTGCTTTTTTTTATCCCCACGAAATAGGATTACCACCAAGATAGACACAAAATCCAAAGGTGGACTTTCTGTCGTCTGGATCTGATGCCCAGTCGGCATCAGAATAAGCCGTAAGAGTCATGCTAGAGCGTTTTTGAAGTAAAGGACCATTGTCAAACGTCCCTTTTAGGTATCTAAGTATGTGTTTAACTAGTTGTCAGTGAGTAGTGGTAGGGGCATGCATGAATTGACATGCTTTGTTAACTGAGAAGGACAACTCAAGTCTGGTGAGTGTGACATATTGAAGCACTCCCACAAGGCTTCTGTATTGAAAAGGATTAGGAAGCGGATCCCCTTGTTGAGCAGATAAGAGAGAACCAGTCACCATAGGTGTAGAAATAGCATTAGCTTCCATCATGTTAGCCTTTTGTAGGAGATCAGTGACATATTTGGATTGTGAGAGAAAAATGCTATAATTATTGGGGTAAGAAACTTCGATGTCGAGGAAGTAACTTAGTTTTCCCAAATCTTTTAGGGAGAATTTTCTATGGAGTATGGAGATCAGATTTTGTATGTCCACCTCAGAACTCCCTATTATGACAATGTTATCCACGTAAATCAGAATATAACAGTTGTGTATACCATATATTTAGTAAAATAGAGACGGATCAACCTTTGAACCAATAAACCCAAGAGTAATAAGATAGGAACTCAGCCGCTTAAACCAGGCTCTAGGGGCCTGCTTAAGACCATAAAGTGCTTTCTTTAATTTGCAAACAAGATGTTGAATGAGAGGATATAAAACCTCTAGGTTGATCCATCAGAACTGCCTCATTTAGAAGACCATGTAGGAACACATTGTTAATATTGATTTGTCTTAGAGACCATCCTTTTGCTAGAGCTAGTGTGAACAGAACCCGAATAGTAATAGGCTTAACTACCGGGCTAAATGTCTCTGAATAGTCGATGTCTGCAGTTTGATGGAACCCTTTTGCCACTAGTCTTGCTTTGTAACAAGAAATAGACCCATCCGTATTATGTTTTATTTTAAAAATCCACTTACAACCCACTCTCTTTTGATTTGGGAGGGGAGTAACCAATTCCCATGTCCCATTTTTCATAAGGGCTGAGTATTCTTCTTCCATTACCTTTTTCGGTGATCATGCTTCAATGCTTCATTAGCTGATGTAGGCTCAATTTCTTTGTGATTAGCAAGATAGGCTTTATGTTTGAATATGTCATTCTTTGCCCTAGCAACCATACTGTGAGTATTTTGTATAGAAGATAGAGTAGGATATGTGGTGATTTGTGGAGTGTCGATGGGTGGAGTAGTTGGTATAGGTTCTAGAAGAATGTTTAAATCGGGAATAAGCTCATTAGTAAACTCAATGATAGGGTTAGTGATAGGAAGAGGTGATAAAAGATGTAGGATTTGAATTATTGGGAGAGGTAGGATTTGAATTATGTTGAGAAATAGGGGAAGAATGAGAAACAATGGTAGGTATAGTGGAAAGTGTAGGTAGACTCATGGTGACAGTAGGTGAACTAGGGAAATAAGGTATAGGAGAGGGTGTATTTATTTTGAACGGAAAATATGTTTCATTAAATGTAACATTTCGAGAGATGTATGAGCGTCCAGTGGATGATAAACATTTATATCCCTTGTGAATGTTACTATAGCCAAGAAAAATGCATTGAATGGAGCGGGGTTGAAATTTATGAGAGTTATATGGTCGAAGGCAGGGAAAGCATAAACAGCCAAAAGTTTTAAGGAATGTGTAGTTGGGTTTTTGATGAAAAACTTTCTCCATAGGGCTTACCCATTCAAGAATAGGCGTAGGTAGTCTATTAATAAGGAAAGTGACAGATGAGAAGGCCTCATCCCTGAATTCCCGAGGCATAAAAGAGTGAGATAATAGGGTTAGACCAACCTCAACTATGTGACGATGCTTTCTTTCTGCAATGTCATTCTGTTGGGATGTGTAAGGACAAGAGAAACGATGTTCTATTCCATGAGATTTGAGATAGGGGGTGAAGGCTTTGAACTCACCACCCTTCATCAAATTGAAAAGTGAGTATAAACAAATTTAATCGTTTTTCAATGAACGACTTGAATTGAATAAATGCAGATAGAGCTTAAGACTTTGTTTCTAGGAAATAGATCCAAGTATATTTGGAATAGACATCTATGAAAGTAATATAGTATTTGAAACTGTTTCGAGATGTTTTAGAGGCTGATCCCCATAGGTCAGATACAATCAGTTGAAGATGGGCAGTGTATATGGTTTGAGAAGGTGTAAATGGTAAAGAATCACTCCTGCCTAATG